AAAATAGAGTAATTCTAAACCTTACACTACCAATCAGAAATACAATTATTTTCCATCATAACATTGTGGATGTGGAAAAATGAGCATCAGTATTCTCTGACCTGACTCTTCTGCAGAGGGATCATCTCCTCAAATCCAAGAATCAAAAGCTTACCTAAATGCTAACCATCTCTAAAGGCTACAATTCTAGAGTAACTGTTATATTCAAAGTATAATCACCCTTCTTACTTTCTTTTACCCCAGGAATGCTCTTAAATCTTAATTTATTTGCAGGAAAGTATTCATTCCTGTCTTTGCCTTTTATTTCTCACACTATAAACAACTCCAGCTCTTTTCTGTGGCATTTTCACATTATTTCTTCCACTTGACTGACTCATTTTTGTTTCTGCGTACCTCCTGGTTTCTTTATACTGCCTTTTAATTTGGGAGATTTAAAACTGGACACAAAATTCTAACGAAGGGTTTTCAAATTTCATCTTTAGCCAAATCATTATACTTCTGGGAGGTTGAAACTAAGGCTAAGTCATTTTTTTGGTGGAACCAGAATTTGTGCTTTGATGGTGTATAAGATTTGTGCTGATAGCATGTTGACTGAATAGGAATTACCCTGGTTTGTTTGAGGGTAGGAAGGCTGCTTCATCACAGCTTGTCTGTTCTTCCTTTATCAGCTTTTCACACAACAGTCAGTAGCATTCTGAGGTGCTCTTTGGGTGTCAGAATATAGCAGGTTTCTCTTTGTATATTTTGAATGCACGAAATATTCCTCTGTCGTCCATCATTTAAGCCTGTACATAGTTCCAGGGATCTCCTAATGTGTCACACACCACCCTGAATTTCTGCTGTTCTGATCTGAGGAGCCTCTCACGGTGTGTTGACCAGGACATCATAGGAGGCGATCATCTAAACACTGTGCAAGGTCCCCCACACCCCACCGGAACCAGAGGGATGTGCCTCTCTCACCCCTGCCAGACCCCACGAAAGAGGAGACATCTAGTAGAAATAAAGGCATTTTCTCCCTCCTTTATCATGTTAGGCGTCCCAGTCCTCTTTTAGGTTTTAGGTTGTGAACTTAGTATATTTTTCAGACACTGGCATGGTTCAGTGTTATAAAGCTGAACAAGTGAAATTCATCTCCTTACTTCAACTGTCATTGAATCCTTGGCTGGGCCAGGTACCCTTAGAAGGTACTAAGGATAACACAAGCTTTTTTTTTTTTTTTTTTTTTTACAAAGCTCAAATCCTCATAGGAGATCATTTAAAATCACCTTAGTACCTAAATACAGCTTAACATATGTCACACCATAAGAGATACAAACACATTTAAGGACTGGAGAGGAGGAAGTTTAATTCTAGGCCAAAATTTAGCAACATTCCCTCCTTGATTCATTCCTAAAGAATATAAAACACATGGAAATGGAGCCTGCATTTTTTGTCTGATGCGTTTAGCACCTTGATATGTTTTTGTCATTCTTTATTTTCCCAAAAGGAGTATTTTCTGAGGGGAGTAGAATTGGAGTTGGGGGAACTACATATGTGCTTAAGGAGCAAATGCAGTGCGAGGTTTCTGTTGTTGCATCGCACAAGTTTATGGAAGCAGAGGCTAATATGTAGGCATTAGGATTTATTTTATTCCTTTCCCCAGTGATTATGTTGATAGTGAAATATCTTTGTCTGAGTACTTCAGCGATATAGCTGTAGGCGCCATAAATGCATAGATAGATGGCCACCAGTTCAATTAAGAGGTCCCAACACAGCCTCCTATATGCAAACCCAGTCTATTTTAGGTTTAAATTTCTGCTCATAAATTTTTTAAAAACCAAAAGAAATATTGCTTTCCAAGGTTATGTTGAAGTCTAAGGTTTCTTTAACAAAAAGCAAATCCCTAGATGGGGAAAAAATTGATAACCCTAATGTACTTCCTCACAATAGCATTTCCAACTCCATCATTTAAACATACTTTAAATAATATCCTTATTATAATATACAAATCATCTAGTTTTCAACCAGGTGATTAGAGAAAGTCATTGCCAGATGTAATATCTAAGATATGGAATCCAATTCTATGCAGTCAGGTTTGTTTTTGGGTGGGCCTCTAATTATTTCAGGTGGAAGGAATCAACTAATCACAGGATAATTGTCCGAAAAAGTAAGACATACCGTTATCTTGGCTGCTGATAGGCCGCTACTAAGTGTAAAAAAGAAAAGAGTAAATTAATTGTTAACCTTAATGATAGTGTTTTAATGCAAATGCTCAAGAAAGAGATCTTTCATTTGTATCAATTATGTATGGGTCGGAATTAATTTGTAATTCTGGTCATCTGGTTGGCTCCATAACAGCATTGGTGACCTTTTGCAATAGCAGAGAAAGTGTCCATGTGTGCTCAGCATAGAATAGCGCCAGAATAGCACCTGGACTCCGTAATTTTGTTCCTCGGTTCAGAGAGGAATGGTTTTAAACGGACCGGGGTAGGAAATAATTATTGAAGTTTTAAAATCATTTACATTTTCTTAAGATCTTTGCCTTTGCCTCTCCCTTTTCCAGGATGGTGTATTTTACTATGCAGTCCTCTATGGATAACAGCATTTCCAGCTTTTGAATAAAACTGGAGAAATTAAATTCTGTCCCCAGTTTGGCAAAGTGCCTTCTCCAGTGTTTGTATCTGAGCTTTCACAGGAGCACTGCCGCCCCTTTCAGACCAACTCTCAGCAGTCTCCTGCCGCTCAGTCTTTCGCTATTTCTTTGCTTCTTTTTCGGTCCCTTGGAATTTTAAACTTTCTTTGAACTTATCTTTTGTTGCTGTTCATGTTTTCTGTAATCTTGTTGTATTTCTCTAAAGAAACAGTGGCAAATCAAATGTAAAGTAAAAAAAGTCCACTTGAGATTATTTTTTAAAAATTGGATCTCTCATTACCCTTTTTGCCTTAACATTAATAGATTAATTGGCTATTGTATGTTGAAATTAATTGAGATAGACAATGTTTTTTTTTTGTTTGTTCACGAAGAACTAATTGCGAAGATATTACACCTAGAAGAACACTGTCTGAGCTATCATATAGAAAGTTAGCTTTGCTAGTATTACTCCAAAGGAAATGTTCTATTTCACAAGATTTTATGTTTCTATTTTGGGATATGATTAGGAAGGATTTTAACTTTTTCTAAAACAAAAAATATATTTTATTTAATTTATATTTTGGATATTAATGGCTTAAAAATTTCCAGGACAAAAATAAAAAGGTATTTCTTTTTTCTAAAACATGTTGACTGTCTCCTCAGAATATCTCATTTATATTTTTTAATGATAAAATTACAGTATCTTTTCTTAGAAAAGAATGAAGACAGCTACACCATATTCTTAAATTGTTTGCTATAAAATACTCATTTATAAAGTTTAAATTTAATTATGAATAAACGTTAATTTGCACTTCGATTTTTAGTGCAGGCTTTGTATTTCATTTCATGGTTCATTCTAAAGGATTTCTCTAAAGTTTCCTGACCTATAGTATTTTTTTTGTTTTTTAACTTCACTAAGGCGATTGTCTTTATAAGTTGATAAAAGCTATCACTTTGCCAGACTTAACTAAAAATTCACATTCCACAACTTTTGTTAATTGATCCATTGAATCAATGTAGAATTTTTGCTATGATCACCAGGTTAAGATTATCTGAAAATTTTTAAATAGACATTTTATTTATAGTATGTCCCTATAATTAAAATCTTCATTTGCTTAAAAGCAGGAAGACTTTCTAAGTTATAAATTAGCAGTTCTCAACCCAGGGTCAATAGTCCTGATACTTCTTTTTACACTGTCTCCAAGAAAGAGAATGGTACTGCCCTAACCCTGTTGAAATAAAGGCAATATTTTCAGTTTATTCAGTTATGGGTCATAATCTTTGGATCTTGCATTGAACTTCTTGCTGAAATGTGGTCAAATTTCAGACAGTTAAGTCTAATCCTATAAAGTCAAGGTAAAGTTTGGATTCAGGCTTTTCACAGATAATATATGTTTTTTTTTTTTTTTAGAAAAAATACTTTTATCTTTAGATAATGTTTTATACCATTTTAAGTCTCAAAAAATGTTTTACAAAAAAATTTTCCCCTTGACATTTTTTGCCTATCTTTTTCCACCTAGCTAGTTATTTCAATTCTGTAAAATTCTTTTGTTATAACTTAACTTTAATCTCATTTTTAAATCATTTTATTTTACATGATCCCATTTATAAGTTAAATTACTTGAATTAATTTCTGGGGGGGGTTGAAATGATTGTGTGTGTGTGTGTGTGTGTGTGTGTGTGTGTGTGTGTGTGTTTTGATGGAATTCGATAAAGTTGTGCAAGAACCTGTCTTTGGTAACAAGCCCTGTTAGGATTGCCCAAATGCATCAGTACAAGAGAAAAATAATACTCCTAAAGTGTGGGAAATATACCTTAAAGAAAGCTGCTGATTTATCCTGTTAGTTCAAGGAAATGTGCTAGAATATTAGAATGCTGGTATTTAATGGTGTTAGTCTGCATAGTCTGTTGCTGTAATACAGAGCTAAATATCAACAGAACTTGTTACTGTTATTTGGGCTGCTTTTATATACCAGCTTCAAAACATGTTTTGACACTTTATTATGTTCTGAATCAAGCTTCAGATGTGTGTAATGAAGGATGAAGTCTTTATCAGACTCTAGTGAATAAATAATAGAGAATAGCAGTTTGAAAAGGATCTGTCTGTAAGAGAATGGTCTTTCTGAAGAGTTTCAAGTTATGATCTGGCAAAAGCAAACACACTGGAGGTGTAAACAAAACTGAGGTCCTCTCTAAGGGTGCAGGCTGCTGTTGCTGCTCCCCACTTCCCTTTCTTTTCTTATTTTTTTTTTTTTTTTGTTCATCATGTTATTTCTGTAACATTCTCACTCCTGGTTTATATGCTGAACCTTTTGAGAAAGTTTGACACCTCTGATCCACTTTCCCTCACAGACCCTATAATTGTTGGCTGTATTTTTATGTTTTTCAGATTCAAGTCAATCTGAAAGTCCCAGCCAGCCAAGTGATGCTGACATTAAGGACCAGCCAGAAAATGGTAAGTTTAGCTTTGAGAGTCTCCAGTAGCCAGCAGCTAATCAAGTACAAGGATTTTGGAGTCTGCCCTATGGGTGGCCCCCAGTAGGAACAATGGAAAGACTCAAGGAGTACTCTGGACCACTCTCGCAGCCCCCCACCACCTCCATCCTCACACAGTATTGGGTACACGTGGAACCTTAGTTCCCAAGGAAGTTGATGACTAGAGAGGTGGAGTTGACTTACCAAATTAGAATCTTTTACAGCATAAGTGAGGAATCATGATTGTTTCATTTCATTTTCCATCCTTTAAAAGTAGCATATGACCTGGGATTCTTCATTATTAATTTAAGACAAGTATTTTTGAGGCCTTTTAAGAGTTCAACACTTTGCTCGTGGCTTTAAGAAACTGATCTCTGTCTTTGTAGGGTTTTTGCTTTAAATCGTCTAAAATAAAACAATAAGGGTACATGAGAGTATTAAATTCCTCAATTGCATAACTATGTAAACTCTCTGGTACAGAAATTTGAATAAATCCTTTGTATACAAATACAATAGTGTCCATTAAAATACAGAGTTTGAGGTATGTACTCCAAGTTCAAGAAAATATTATAAAAGGTTTGAATTTTTAATTGAATAAAATCATTAGTTTCAATAAAAACCAAAAAGTGAACCAGAAGTACTTATCATATTATAAACATTATACTATGTACTTTCACAAATATCATCTCATAGAGTTCCAAAATGCTTGCCTTGGTCATTGAACTGAAGGCTCTAATGGGAGTACTTTACCTTAAAGGCCCTGTGAGGGGAATATAGTTTTGTGGTTAAAAACCCAGGTTGAGATGTCAGACCTACATTAAAGGTCTGCCTCTTCTGTCCCTTACCTTTGTAATACTGAATAGGTTATTTAACTCTCAGGATACAGATTTCTTCTTCTTCTTTAAAACAGTATGGTAACAATATTACCTACCTGTTGAAGAATTAAGTAAGATCATATGTACATATTCATGTAGTTTTTACTTTAAAAATTGTTGGCTGTTGTTTAGTATAACACATATTTTCTAGTCAGTATAATCCAACAATTTTTTTTTTCATCTTTGCAAAATGAGCTCATTTCTTGAGTCTCTCTTCCTTTTGTTGTTCTATACATGTTTCCAATTTGGATTTCCATCTGATCTGTTGGAATAGATAGGTAAACTGAATTATTGTAGGAGGGAAAATTGAGCTTACCACATTAGATATCCTATTGCTAATTTTTCAGGATTTGTTTAATTTCCCAATCATGGGAAATTCTTTGTAACATTTCTGGGCTCTAATATTACATATGGACTGTCTAGTGATTCCTCTTCTTTTCCTGGTATATTGGTGGCATTTTCTGTCAAAGTTGTCTTTTCAAAGCAGGCATTAAAGAGAGAGAGACTGCTGAAGGCTTATTTATAGAGGCAAAAACAACTGCATCTTATTTTTTGTTAATATTTATAAGTGAGTTATAGATTAGTTTCATTCTTTATATCCTACTTGACTTATTAGTGATGTCTTAAAATTTTTCTCCATATATTATATTTATCTATAATCTGCCTGAAGTTGTGTACAGAAATAATTTTTTTTAAAATGTTATGTGCTGTAGGGGTATGTGGTTCACTTATTTAGGTTGGACAGCCCCTCCTGCAGGCCTGTGATTCATCTGTCTTCATAAAATGGCTGACAAGCTGTTCACATGCAAATATAAATTGAGAGCATGAGAGGCCTGGCATGCTTTTCTGGATCTGCCTGCAATACCGATATTGTGCGCTTCCCATTCCAAAAAGCAACCAGGACTGAGCCTAGATTTTTCGGCCAAAGGCACAGCGATACTAGCCAAGTTCACTTTTAACCCCAGATTACTTAGTGCTACCACAAGGATTCACAGTACCATTCTGGGGGACTATATGAGTTCAAAGAAAGAAAGTATTAATATCTCGGAGAGGAAGTTATAAATTCCCATGTTTCCAATTTCTATTTATTTCAAGAAAAAGAAATATAAGTTCCTTTGAGACAACTCTAACTGAAGCTGAGACCAGGGAAACATCAGCCTATTCAGTTTCCTTTATCTGTCTTTTGTCAATCTCAGATGAAGTTATTGGAGGAGAATGATTTTATCTCTTCCCTAAAGACATAATCCCCAAAGGAAAATAATTTGAAGATTTCAGGACTAGGTATTTATATGCATTAGATAACTTCCTGGGACTGCTTTGATCCAGTGTTCTTTCATTTTCCATAACCTCAGGCTATAGAATATGAGCTCATGAAAAGTTTTTGTTTGTTTGTTTATTTCATTTTTGTTTTTAAAGAGGGAACTGTCATAAATATGTCAACAAAACTAAGAATTTTTGGAATCCTGGTGGATGAAGAAGTGACAGACTCTGGTCTTCAAATAAAGTGGGAACTCATTACTCCTTCTTTATGTATAGAAGCAAGGGGAAATAATCTTCTTTTATCCTAGCTCTTGAGGAGAAAGGTAATGGGAAACGAATGGTATTTTCTAGTAAACCACGAAGGATGAATAGACAAATGGTAACATGCCGTTTCATCCAAAACCATAAACTAGGCTATGTAACTTTACCTAAAGTGGATGCAGCTGTTTCTTCTCTGTCCAACTAGTCTGGTTTTTTCTTTCTCTGGAATTTTTGCTTTCTTTTTTTGTACTCCCTTAAGATTCAACTGTAAAAGAAAACAAATCTTTGTCCAATTAGAGTATTAGATGGGAATTTTAAGGAATTATCTGAAGCCCAAAGATAAAAATATCGGAATCTCCAAAATTCCAAATTGGTCTAATAATTGAAACTCTACCTGCAGAGTCAAACAGACCTGAGTTCAAAGGAAATAATGCCTGGATGACTTTGAATAAGCTATGACCCCAATCTAAGTTTTCTTATATCAGTAAAACAGGAATACTAAAAGAGCCTACTTCATGAGTATTAAAATGAGAATATACATATGAAACAGCATAATGCCTGGTTCATAGTAAAGACTGAAAGGTAACCATTGCTACTATCCACTTAAAGCTTATCGTATGTGTAATGAATACACATACTTGAGAGGTCAAAAGTTGGGAGCCTGAGATTGAAAGGAGGATAGTGTGAGAAATAAACCAAGACTTAGAGACAACTTCTGTACTAGTAAATACTCTGTTCTGAAATGTCAGCCATAAATCTCCTTAAGTCTGTCCATAATCCTCACAGTGCCATATGTATTTCACTGTTCAGTTCTAGTCCTCACATTCTGTTCTGTCTTCACCTCCCAGGAGTTGAGAACTACCATGGCAATTCAGAGTTGATAGAAACATCAGAATTAACACTCAAGAAAAGGTGGTTCTGAAAAAAAGGGATTTCTCCTAGATGTCTTCAATTTTAGCCAAGGCTTTGCTCAGCTTAAAGCAAATAGAATGTGGCTCATTAAAAACTACAAGCTGATTAAGGGTAGGATTCATGATAAATTCCTTTTCAAAACATCTTACATAAAACATAGCTCGTGCCTTGAACTTAGTAGGTACCTGATACTTATTTACTTAATGAATGAAGTTAATTAATAGAGGAATATGTCATTATCTCCAAATATTTTTTGAGTCTGTGCTCACTTTGATTTATAAGAGGTTTTAAAGGGGGGAAAATACCAATAAAATCCTGGAGAAGATGAAAATCTAATTTGGGTGTGGGGGAAAGCTGTATGCAGACACATGGACATAGATAGACAGAAATGATTTAACGGTGCTAGGGAGCCAAGGTTAGGGACTAGATAATAAAGGATTTAGTATATCAAGTTGTGCCTCAGCTTCTACCCCTACCAATGAGCAGGTGTGATCAAATGCGTTGACCTTGAGCAATATAGGTTATAACTGCGTGAGCCCACTTTTTCCACCAATAAGTACCTATATTGTTTTTTCCACCAATAAGTACCTATATTTTTCCACCAATAAGTACCTATTGTTTTTGATCAGTGGTTGATAGTGTGCAGGTATGTAGGGCTGCCTGTAAGCAAGGCTCATTAGTCAACAGAGCCAAATATCAACAGTACGACGATTGAAATTTCTTTTGAGAGCCAAATTTTTTAGACTTAAACTTCTACTAGTACCACTTCTTCAAAATAGACTCGCCAAGGCTGTAGTAGTTTGTGGAAGAGCCACACTCAAGGAGCCAAAGAGCCACATGTGGCTTGCAAGCCGCAGTTTGCCGACCACGGCTCTATGACATTTTATATTGGGATTGTGAGCATCTGTGGATTTTGGTATCCACAGAGATCCTGAAACCAATCCCCCTCTGATACAGAGGGGCATCTAAGTTTTGGGGGAATTAAAAGTTATATGAGGAATTTTGACTGCGCATGGAGTTGGCATCCCTAACCTCCAAGTTATTCAGAGGTTGCTTGTATATGAAATACCATCATGTTATTTTATGCTACATTACCATAGGGAATGTAATCCTGACAAAGTTCTCAGCTCTGAATGGTATCATTTATTTAATCCTTTTGCTTATTGCTAAAACCCCCTTTCTGGCTTTTCAAGAACTCCTGAAGGTTTTAAGTTTTGTTAGACTTCAACTTGCAACACCTACTCAAACCACCTTGGAGAATTCTCATGATGTGCTTTGGTTACTGTTAAAAGTATTTATGAGACAAAACATTTGAAGTCTGTGCTGGATATTTGCAGGGCCTGTGAAAGTCCTTCAAAGCTTGCAATCTGTGGTGCATCAGGTCAGTCATTAATGAAGGAACAGCTCATGCGGTAGCCCCTACTTAATTCAAGGCACGCTTCTGCAGGGCTACACTGAATCAATGTCCGAGGGAATAGCATATTCCAACATTGACACTCCAAAAGCATGTTTCCCACTGGGACTCACTGTGAAAGCAGCCTTAACCAAAAATAAACAAATAAAGAAAAAATAAAGAAAAAACCTTGCCAGACAAAGAAAAGCTGGGTTCACGTGGGGTTTTGTTTTGTTTTTCTTTTTTCTATTTACTAACTCTCATCACCTGGACATCTTA